ATCCCCTATGGGAAGAAACCCACAGACCATCATAAAACAAATTTGCAGCAATGCTCTTATGTGCAGAAACGCCCAAATCCATCTCTTAAATCTAAATAAAGTGGTTTCCATGGCGACCATGTCTTTGACTTTACTAGATGGTGATGCAGGTACCCCAATCATCTCTTGGCCTTCCTTTTGGTCTATATGTGTGTGACGCTCTCTTGATTTCTATCAGTTCCCACAGGCATCTGAGGTCTGTGTCAGCAGGAACTATATTTCACTGCAAACCACTGACTATGCTTCACTTTAAGTTATGGTAAATCAAACCCTTTATTTGCATACAGATAAGAGTAACTGATGAAAAAATGAAAACACAGTGCAGTATTGTGATGTCACAATGAAATATATACAGATCTGTGCAACGAGATCTAAGGAAGTAGAGTTGCAGAGGTAATACAAGGATTAAAATATCCAGTGCTTCTACATTTGGTGGACACTGTCCAAAACACATCAACTAAGCATTTGTTCAATGCAGTAGCAGAAACTGGATTCCCAACAAGATGTAGGGGAGACCAGGAGCAATTTAACAAACTAAATACATTAAACTGAACTGGATTGCCGCAAATTTCTTAATCCCAGAATGCTTTGTGTCAGACTGTATAAGGAGAATAAATGTTAAAATTATGTGTTATTTTGTGTGTTTTTACAAGATTAATACAGGGAGAGAGTGTTAATGTGTTAGTGTTAAATGTTCTGTTATGCTGGGATTTATAGGGGTTTCCACAGAATGCTTTGTGTCAGACTGTATAAGGAGAATAAATGTTAAAATTATGTGTTATTTTGTGTGTTTTTGCACAAGATTAATACAGGGAGAGAGTGTTAATGTGTTAGTGTTAAATGTTCTGTTATGCTGGGATTTATAGGGGTTTCCTTTATGTTGTAGTTTTCTGGGGGTTACCATTGTGGTGAAGAGTATATCCTGTGATTAAGTGATAAAACAAAAAGCTATATATACTTTAATCTTGACAGAGCCAAGTTGTACAAGTTGTTAGGGTGCCTCTGATTTGTGTCATAAATTCATAAGTTCATAAAGGGGATTGTGACACTAATAGGCTGCAACTCAAAAACATCGAAAAGAAACAGCATTCTTAAAATTAATGAAGTGTTCTTCCCCTATCTCTGTAACCTTGCCAATTCAGCACAGAGGAGCCATTGAACCTAATATTCACTAAATAAAATCATTTAAACAGAGCCTGCAGTCAGTGAAACTGTAAATGCATTTAACTTTTCATTTCATATAAAGAAAGTGCTCTGTGATAATTTGAAGAAAAAATAAACATACCATGAATGTATAATGAACACATGCATAGCACAACAGTGATGTGCAATTATTATCTTGTCATGAAAAACAAAGATATTCTAAGAAATGAGGCAATGCATTAAAAGTCTCAGTCTGAAACAATGCCAAGGAATAAAGATTCAGAACAAGGAATTCTTGTCAAGGTCAATATATACATTAGAAGTCTTTAGTCAAAAGATACATAACAAACTGCCATTCAAAGTCCACAAAGGCCTATTCTTCATTATAAATACATAAACTAAAGTTAGCCTATAATGAGAGGATCAAAGAAACCAAGATCGACTCCAGCTCAGTTATTCTGAGCTGCAGCCGAGATGCTCTTCCTTGGAAACAGTCTCATCAAGCATGATTAGACAAAACTCTGAGACAGCGCTGTCATCACCCACAGATTAATTAACTTTACATAGATAAATCCTGGGGATTTGTAACAGAAAGCATAACATAAAGTCTAGACTCCGTAAGCTATTATCTGTTCTGGTCCACAAGTTCATTTATCAACTGATGTTAGGGTATAGTGGTTTCTATGTGTTAAACTAACATTTTTATTTTTTTATTTATTTATTGGTCAAAGACGAAAAAGAGTTTAAGCATAAAAACAATAAGTGTAATACTGCTTTAAATTGTTGTTGTTTTTCCCCCCCAAAATTAAAAAGTTTTCTGTTTAATTTAATTGCAATTTTGTTTTTGTTTCTCCGAGCAAAAAAATAAATATCATAAATTTTTCCCTGATTTACAGAAGACACCCACTAAAATGTCATTCAGTGTAACATTCTTGTCAGGCATATTTACAACAAAAATCAATTTATGACATATTAAAAGACTAATTACTTTCACCCCAAATACTAATTAGTTGTAATTTTACATTTTTAGAATTTGCCACTATCCTAGGTTTTGCCCATTTGTCAGTAAGAATTTTTACTAATTTAAAACAATAAAATTTAATATGCTCCCTTATTCCTTTATATATTTTAATATGTACACGTCAGAATAAGCATGTTGTTTGAATTTTTACATAAATATTGTGTTACACTGAATGACAATGTAACATTATTTCAACCAAATTTTAACATTTTGTTCTCCAAAAACTTATTTGAAACCTTAAGAGTAGACACTTTACTTACATTTAATGTGCTTTCTATTGACATATAATCACTTTTGTAAATTTCTTTTGATGCGGACATCTTAACGTCTTTGACCCTTATTTATTGCTTGGCCTTGTCTACACCAGCGAAATTGCTTATACATGCAGCAAAACATTTAACTCTATATCAAGTGCCATGCTAAGTAAAACAATATAGCATGGATACCTGTAAAATGTTTTCTTAGCAGGACATATTTTCACCAATATTGCAAGTGCTGACACAATAATCTATACTATTTTGTCTAAATAAATTGGAAAATAAAACCCTAAAAAAAAGCCATTTGTATTAATTACCTGCTACACTTTAATTTAGCATCACAACAACAGTAAGAAATATTCAATCTGAGACTTGCTCAAGATTATATTTAATATAAGTTTTTCAACTATTAATGCTTTTAATGATTAACTTAAATTAAGTAAATTAAATGACTGCAAAGGTATTCTAAAATTATGAGAAATAAGTATGAAAAGTCAAATACAGACATTTCAACCAATACCGATGATCATAATCAGTATGGTACCAATATAATGTGCATCATTAGTTGTTTTTTTATCCTTTCTCACCCAGACTCTTCACACCAAAACCTGCTTCAGTCTGCAGTTACAGAAAGAAAAGCCAAGATTCCCACAGTCCTACATAATGCCGAGTTCACACTGCACGATTTTAGCCAGATTTTTCACTCGCCGACAGGTTTTGCGAAATCGCCAACAAATGCCCAAAATCAGAGGCAAATCGGTGCTCGTTCACGCGAGTGACAATCACGCAGTGTGAATTATCAAAGACGCGATCTGAGGGAATCGCCGACATGTCACCGACGCCCTCAAAATATTTGGCATGCTAAATATCTGGAGCTGTCGGCGATTCACAATCACGCTGTGTGCAATGATTTCTGACTGAAAACTACATCGGCGATGACCTACAGCCAATGAGAGACCAAGATACAGGGCAGAGGGAGTTCGGGGAGGAGTTATAGACCAGAATATCAGTATTTTAATATATATATGAACAATTATATCCTACAGAAACAAGCACAAACATCTGCTTGACCAGCCACAACATCAGCATAACAGTTACTGCAAAATTATTTACCTCCAACTCTTTTTGCAGAACATCCAATCTCTGTTCCCTGCATCTCCCTCCTGCATAATCTGTTTGTCTTTTTCTCCTTGTAGCTGGAAATCAGCTCAGACAATTTGCGGCCTATATACATATATATATATATATATTTTTTTTATATATATAATTACAGTCTTGCTCGCACGAGCAGAAGAAATAAAATAAAATAAATAAAATAAAATCTCTGAAAATTACATAATCTACATTTAATATTATTCAATCCAATGACATTGTACAGATATTTGTCACTTTCCAGGAATATCACAAGAGACCTTTGCCATAAAATTACCCTAACTACAAAAGCAGCCAAGATCCTGAGGAAAGAGGGATTTGGGAAAACAAAAATCCATTGTTACAACTCGAACAAGACATGTAAAATCTAAACCTAAGGCGTGTTCTTTGTACTCTTTTTCAACAGCATAAATCTACTAAACCCATCAAACAGTCTGCACATTTTAGTACTCCAGGGATTCATTTCCTAAAGCAGAAACAGTAAAAAATGAGGGAGCATACGAGAAGCCCAGAAGCTTTATGGATCCGTCTGTGTAATGCTCATGGGCTTTTTTCCCCACTCATTTTCAAAGCATCATTTTAAAGCAGCACAATGCTGAATAAAACGTGATAACGACAGAGTAGTCTGAAATAAATAACCAGTCACCTGAAATGAAAACTCTGCATCAGAACATGCTTCTAAAATAAAGCACCGTTACTGACAAAAACATGATGTGTGATATTGTTTCCTGAATCACTATAATCAAACTATCAGCAGGAATTAAACGTAAGCAAGCACCCAGCACCAAGTACGCTACATCTCTCGTTTTTATGCCACTTTTAAAGACTTTAGTTATCTGTGAATGAAACTGATCAACATAACAAATATGAGAGCTACCAAGTCGAAGCCCCACAGAAAGATTAATCAACCAACAGACAATAACATGATACATGTTGATAAATAAAATGGTTTTATGCCTCTATTGGTGCTGAGAAGCTAAGATTTCCTAACAGATGTGTGAGAGGCCAGCTGGTAATACGCAAAAAAAGAGGAGGGAAAAAAACAAGAATAATTTCCTGATTACGAAATGAGGCAGAATAATGTTTGAACAGGTAGAAACAGATGTGGCATGCCTGTTACCCTGAGAGAGCCAGGAACCTTTTCAGCTAGGACAGAAATATAAGGTGTAAATAACATCAGATCTGCAGTGCAGCACAAATCAGAGTCTGACACCATCTAGTTTGCTCCTGCCAGATACAGAACATATTAAGTCATTACCACAAGCACAGCAATCCCATAAAACTGATGAATTGCGTTTGATCCTCTCTGATCTCCACATGACTATAACAATGATTTGGCCGGCACGTCATCAGCGCTCTGTATGTTGTATGGAGCACTGAGGCCTTACCTTAGGATACTGCTGCACCGGGATCAGCACGCGCTCTGACAGTTTGATGTTTTTGTTGCTGATGATATCCAAGTATTTCTTCACCTCGCCATCTTTTCTCAACTCGTCTCCTTCGAACTTTTCAATCTCTGAATGAAAGAAAAAAAAATAGCTCGGGTCAAATAATGTCACAAATTCCAGCCCAGAATATAAGGAAAAACGCAACAAAATGCTTTAAGATATTTTCAGCTTCCGGTGGCACATTTATTAACAGCAATTAAATAAATACTCCACGTAGAAAGTAACTTGCCTTACCTTAGGATACTGCTGCACCGGGATCAGCACGCGCTCTGACAGTTTGATGTTTTTGTTGCTGATGATATCCAAGTATTTCTTCACCTCGCCATCTTTTCTCAACTCGTCTCCTTCGAACTTTTCAATCTCTGAATGAAAGAAAAAAAAAATAGCTCGGGTCAAATAATGTCACAAATTCCAGCCCAGAATATAAGGAAAAACGCAACAAAATGCTTTAAGATATTTTCAGCTTCCGGTGGCACATTTATTAACAGCAATTAAATAAATACTCCACGTAGAAAGTAACTTGTCGGCGTAAGCCTGCTAAGCCCTTATTCGCATGACAAACACAAATTGAAAAGCTGCTGTGCAAAACTGTAATATTTTGTGCTTCAGGAATTTTATGGTGCTTTTGAGAATTGAGCCAGAGACTTAGCAGCCACACAACATTAAAGGGGCTTGAAATGAAGCTGTCACCTGGGTTCCTCCAGGGATACCCTTCTGTCGCTGCTAAATTAATGCTCAGCAGAATTGAGAATTATGAACCTGTGCAACTCGTGTAAAACATGGCGCGGGAAAAGAAGGGAAGGGAAGTCAGCAGGTGAAGGGAGACCGCTATTTTTCACCTCTCCTCTGGTGAGACTCTCAGCTGCTTAGACCTGCAGAAAACCATATTGTCTCTCTCTAACTTCTATACTGTATGTAGGAAGGAGCAGCTTGGATTTCATCCCAGTGTCGTTTCAAATTTTAAGACCTGTAGACCCAAAGCGTGTTTGTTTTAATGATAGCTTAGTGTGGTGGTCTTTCTGAATACAACATAGGTTATCTGCGGCAGTTATTTGGCGCCTTATGTATTTAAAATAAAATGTTCTCTCTGTATAGTTCTTTTCTAACGATCACCTCTGTTTTCTAAATAGACCCCTTATTGTTTATTATCAATGCTTTGTAATAAACAGCTAGAAAACAATTATTTGCTGGTTTAATCTGCTGGAATTATGTGTAACAACAGAGTATAAAATCACTGAAATAAATAATAATAAAAGTTATTTCTGCAGTTATTTTGATCCAGCTGGTCTCAAGGTGATTTTAGAGGATGTATTAAGTCAGTTCAAACCAGTAGTTATTGGGGAAAAAATCAAAGAAATATGATCTCAGTTTAAATCTTGCTTTTATGTTTATTTTTAGCCTTTTATTATATATATATATTATATATTATTCTAAATGGGGCCCACTAGCCCCTGGGTGAGAACCACTGCTTTAAACCTAACAAACCTATTTTTGCTTGAAAATCTTTCTAGCACTAAACAGCCCTATGATTGTGAGTTCAGATGCCGACTGAGGCGATGCATGAACTGGAGAGTTACAGTGGTCTTGCTTCATCATGTGCCCTTCAGCATGACACTTACTCTCAGGTGGCTGCAAGCAACTAATGGCAAAGCATCTGCAAAATGACAACAGCAAGAAAAGGTGAAATTTCTATCAAAAAAGTAAGCAATGACATGGTCTATGTAAAAGTCAGCTGATCGTGATTAGTTTTTTTTTTTTTAAACCTTTTTTTGTACTGGGGATGCTGTTCTTCCTGTCGTCTTGCCCTTTCCTCTGGCTGAAAGGTATGAAAGAAACCAAACCAGGCTGAAAATGAGACACATTTGCAAAGGGAGATCTAACAATAAGGCAAGCTAAACATTATTTTACAGAGAGTGTCTACATACATCCTGAATAAATATTTGTTTCTGCATAAAGTGTAACATAGGAATGTGAGGAAAGTATAATCACTTTGTCCTCTTGCTTATGAATATATGTAAGTTCATTTGAAATATGAAAAATACTTCTAAGAAGCTGCAAATGTCTCATTGTAATCCACTGGGAACAGAATCTTCTGTGTTCTGTTAATTTCTAATGCTATTTTATTTGCACAGAAAAGATTTGATCAGAATTCACAGCTGCTGTTTTTCCTTTGACTTTTTGCAAAATACAAACTGCAAAAACAAACAAATTCAACATATATATATATATATTTTAAAACAAGAGCGATGTCAGACCTCTGTGTTTTCGGATTTCATTGATTTTGGATGCCCCTTAACACAATGAAAGCATCTCTTGAGTATGCTATGCATGCCTGACAACGCTAACTAACAAAAGTCTCTGGGTGCTATTTAGGAGCTGCTGATCTGAACTTATTGAGTTGAGAAACAGACCAAAAAGTCCACAAATGGGCTTTTAGTTGATACATATAACAATTTCAAGGGTGAGTGGCTCTGTGGAATGAGTATCGCAGCATAATAGGAAAGATCCAGGCTTAAAATCTGGCCTGGATTCTTTTTCAGACATCTGTTGTTATGCCTTTGCATAAAACACTGTAGCCCTGCTTGTGTGACAGATCGGCCAGACTCAGTCACCTCCCAATCATCACAACGATCCCTCTCACCTGAGCTCTGAGCACCTGCACCTGTCACCAATCAAGCACCTCGTTACCAGCCTGCATAAAAGCACACACCTCAGACACCCTCACGGTCCGGTCTCGTATACACGTAGAGGACTCAGTGACTTTGCTACTACTTCCATTTGAATACTTCCTGCATTACTTACCTCCTGTGTTCCTCCTAGTGTCTCCTCGTCTCCTGACGTTAGTGTGGCAAGCCCCAAGGATGATAGTGTGCCAGCCCCAGAGCTCGCTCCAGTGCCGGCTCCAGCCCCAGAGCTTTTGTCGGCTCCAGCCCCAGAGCTCGCTCCAGTCCCAGCTCCTCGAAGGCACTTTGCTGTGCCTGCTCCTCCAGAGCGCCCTCCAGTGCCAGCACCACGGAAGCGCTACCCTGTTTCCCAGTTCAGCCCAGGAAGGGCTCCTGTCCCCCGAGTCCAGCCCAGGGAGGGCTCCTGTCCCCCGAGTCCAGCCTAGGGAGGGCTCCTGTCCCCCGAGTCCAGCCTAGGGAGGGCTCCTGTCCCCCGAGTCCAGCCTAGGGAGGGCTCCTGTCCCCCGAGTCCAGCCTAGGGAGGGCTCCTGTCCCCCGAGTCCAGCCTAGGGAGGGCTCCTGTCCCCCGAGTCCAGCCTAGGGAGGGCTCCTGTCCCCCGAGTCCAGCCCAGGGAGGGCTCCTGTCCCCCG